AAGTTCCAAACCCTAGAGATTTATGACTTAAAGATTTATATATATATATATATATATATATATATATATATATATATATATATATATATATATATATATATATATATACACACAAAATAGAAAATGTATTATTATGGTATAATAATAATACAAATACTCTTGAGCGTTTAAGAGTGCTCAATACTATTAAATAATGGAGCAATATTTTATCTAAAATTATTCACGAATTAAAAAATAAACTACAGTTGAATCAATGGCAAAGCACCCATTTTGTTATCGATTGGTTTAAAAAAATCAAAAATAAACACCTTTGCAAGTTTCTAATTTTTGATATAAATGATTTTTACCCATCTATTAGTGAAAACATTCTTACCAACGCAATCAATTTCGCCGAACAACATGTTATTATAAAAAATGACGATAAAAAAATAATATATCATGCAAGAAAATCTTTAGTTTTTAATAACGACGACGCTTGGATAAAGAAAAGAGGCGGATTATTTGATGTCACAATGAAAGCATTTGATAGAGCTGAAGTTTGTGAACTAGTTGGTATTTTTATGTTGTTTCAGCTCTCTCAACATTGCGATAAAAATAATTTTGGCTTATATCGTGACGACGGGCTTGCTATTTTTGAAAACAAAAGTGGCCAGCAAATGGAAAAAATCAAAAAGCATTTTACACATATTTTTAAAAGTAACAACCTACTTATCTTCATCCAATGTAATATTAAAATTGTCAATTTTCTTGATGTAACATTGAACCTGATTGACAGTTCTTATCAACCATATTGTAAACCTAATAACCAACTTATGTATGTTCATTCCATCAAACCATCCACCTAATATAATAAAAGAAATCCCTCGCACTATTGAGTTAAGATTATCGAATATGGCAGTAAATGAAACTGTGTTCAATAACTCAATTATTCCGTATGAAGAGGCTTTACGTAAATCAGGATACAATTCAAAACTCACCTACCAACCGCAAATAAACAAAAATCAAAAAAGACATCGCAAACGTAAAATTATATGGTACAACCCCCAAAAGTTTGTAATCTTTATCTCCGCAAGAAGTTTCACATATTATCATATAAAGGAGAAAACTTACTTAATAAAAGATATGAAATAATATCAAAGTGCCGGCATTCAAAAAAATTTTTACTATCCTTATTTGATACCGGGGACTAAAACCTTTGACATCTTTTTGTTAATTTGTAATTTTAAAACGGTTTTTAAGTGACGAAATACACAATGGCTGATGATTGCCGAAAGGCATAAAACTCAGAGTTCCATCAAAAGTTGTTTTATTCATTTAATATAAATAAATATATATATATATATATATATATATATATATATATATATATATATATATATATATATATATATATATATATATATATATATATATATATATATATATATATATATATGTATATATATATATATATATATATATATATATATATATATATATATATATATATATATATATATATATATATATATATATACGTAAAATCTAGAATAAATCTTATGCTAATAGTGTCAACACGGCCTTTAAAGTGGAGGGGGTCAACCCCTCAATTTCTAAAATAAAAACCATAAATTCTAAAATAATTGCCTATATTTCTGAAACAAAAGGTCCTCGCAAAAAAAAAGTAGAGTAGGACATGACCCCCTAGCCTCCCCGGCGTTGATTTTCTCCACCAATAGATTATTAATAAATAGCTCAATGTACTCTTTTAATACAAATACTCTATAACACTACTTTTAAAGATGGTGAGAATATTCATTATACGCCGTAAAATATGAATTTTAGCAGTCTAAATTCTAATAACTCAAATGATGGTCTTTAAAGATGCTTACTGTTTAAATCAATTATGCAGTGCAATAATCTTTCTTTGTACTCTAGATGATTTATACTTTGCTTATACCTCGACCAATGTTGATT